ATGCAGTTTTCGTAAGGACCGAGTCTCTGCCCCATATCGCAGCACACTCCAATAATCTACGATTGAAGCACCTCTGGTGGATGCGAACAAAGTGGAAAAACTAATCGTTTTTTAATAAATATGGTAAACTAGCAATATACATGAATAAACCTCACATCACGAGATATAATATGATAAACCTTTGCCCATCAAGCTTTCCCCAAAACCCGACATGTTTTAGCTACAACATTTTATTTTCTACAAATGTTGATGTTGCAAAGCATGGTTCAGAATCGAGGAGGTGTGGCGGTTGCATACTGCAACACATGTGGTTGAGTGGAGAATATTTCAAACGATGTGCCCGTATCGCTGGACCAGTTGATCACAGTTTCAGTGTTTACGTATAACAAGCGGTACTCCTTCGAGTAAAAATCTGAAATGTACTACAAACGGTACATTTTTTTGCATTCACAAATCCTGATATGAACCAAAAAGTAAATCCATACCGTTTCGTATCTCCCCTTAAAGTGAACTCCATTCTTGGGATGTGGAAACATTAAAACATCATTCACAAAAACAATCCCTTTAATACACCTTTTCCCATCAAGCTTTGGACGACAATCGTAATTCTTGAGTCTAGACCGTCGTAATTATGTCAAATGTTAGCGTGTTCTTAAACTGATGATAGAAAAGCGGATGTGTTTTTGTGAACTGTGTTGATTATCCTCGGCCTATGAATGTACCCACATCTAAAAGAGTGGAGTTCACTTTAAGTGGGTGGTGGCGCAGTGGTTTAGTCGCTGCCACTGGCGTGCTTTGGACCCTATGGTCCAAGAATCGAGCCCCGACAACACCACCGGACTATGGTGGTAGGCACCTCTGATGCCGTCCGGTTCAATATCCCCAGGCCTAATCTATTGGGGCCTTATGTGGTCAGCCACTCCAAGTCCCTGGGCTTAGATTGCCGGTCCTTGTGAATAAGGGGATTCGTCCCGTCTGCTGTTCATCACACTGGTGCTGCTCCACTGCGTGACAATAGTGTTACTTATCTGCAGAAGTTGGACTTGCAAATACACAGGAAGCACGCGCGCTCACAGTTCGATCAATCAATCTGCCGTGCATCACTCGGTTAAAACATTTTAAGGGCTTAGATCCCACAACTCTGCTAAAAACCCCGTGCAACTATATCCAACTCGAAGCAAATTAACTCCTCACATATACTACGTACATCGAGGTAGACAAGATATAAATTATTGTCCATACCTAAAGCATTATTATAGGTGATAAATATAATGAAAGTCCTTGTGATCACAGAGAAAATATTTTAGTGCATCACAATCCGCCAGTACTGTATGTGCTCAGGTGATTAATACGTGAGCAGGTGCGATGAATTTGTAGTAGTGATAGAAACAATACTTTACCAACGGTTTGCACCGAGATTTTCAAAACCGATTGACTGATCGAGACTTTGATCAAACAAATAGACAAACAGCCGGATGTCACGAAGGCGCCACAAATGTCTCAAGTTGGTAAATGCCAATCGAGCCTTCTGTATGCGCGCCAACACTTCATCTGTGATGCGTCCGCCAGGTGAGATACAGCTTCCTTCCTCAACAAAGAAGTGTAACAAATAAAAATAAACTGATCACGCCGGGAGAAAAAACTCACCGAAGCTGTCCATCGCGATCACCGGCAGCCAAATGTCGACAGTCGGGACTAATACAGACTGTACGGACACAACAACCGTTGGACGGGGCAGAAAAAGAGGAGTCGGAAAAACTGGGCACTGTCGGAGAGGATGGGGACGGTACGGCGGAATCGCTCAGCCCGCTAGAAGATGGAGCTGGAGAAGAAGGGGGTCCACCGAGGGGACCGACACCAACTGTGAAAAAAGGGGATACCGAACGAACGTATGGGATGAGATGTGAGAATCTTTATCCGTGGCCAACATCGACTGCATGCAAATACGTTGAAGAACGAAAAAACGAGAGAGATAGAGAGAATGGCGGCCATCAAGCAATCATTACGTGATAACATGCTTTGAACACCTTATAAGTAAAATATTTTTTTATTTTGACACGGAAAATGAAAAAAAAGAATCACAACAGTAGTAGTACAACATTGACTTTCACTAGTCATCTCGCAGACTTCATTCGTACCCGGCCGCCGCCGCACATTCTTCTATTCATCCAGTCGACCAAACAATCCGTTAGTATTCGTCCCCAGTTTCGCTCTCATTGGTTGGGGAATCAAACAAACTGGGCCATCATTTAAATCAGTGAACGTCTGGAGGAAGAATGAACAGGTCACCAATTATGGAACGAATTAACAGGAAATTTGAGGCCAGGATTTATCCGAGGATTTATGCTGACGTGAAACGCGGAGACGTAACGAATCTAACAATCTGACGTAACTGATTCCACGAGTATGATGTACGATCAATCCTGGAACTTCGTAAGACCCAGAAGCAGCTACCATGTCGATCATTGACTAATAGGTTTCAATGAAGTACCGGATCGTCCGGGATTTGAACCTGGTATTTCTCGTATGTGTATGTATGTGGATCACGATAGTCGAACGGTGTAAATCATATCACCCTTAAGGTCGTGACTTCGAATCCTGACATCGCTTATATTTCCACTTCTTTGCATCTGACAGCAGTCGTTTCAATTCCTGAAAACTGACTAAGCAACCAGGACATTAAGCAACAGTGGATATAGAAGGGAAGCCCATAATGAAGAATGAGATTTTAAGAAATGCGAGATCGCCTCGTTATTTTAGATTTCACCTGCACGGGGAAATTTTCCCAGACTATAACCAGACGCTATCCCCTACCTGAACTTGGATCATGTTTAATTCATAGAGAACGAATGGAACGGTTGTTACGTTGTTCTCACTGTCCGAAACGGCAAATCAGATAATTTTACTGATGTTTCTTTTTTGTTTGTGTTAAGTAAAAGAATGTAAACCGTATGTTGCGTAAAAATGGTCCAATTTCTACCATTTCCAAAAAATGAGGTCTCTGAGCAGTGCACAAGCTCCATTTAGGTCAGCGATTGAGGAAACTAAACGAAATGTTGACATTTCATCACATGCGTCTTCCTTCGATCTTAATGCAATGAATAAAAGCGGCCTTCACTGCCTTCTCGTGGGGCGGAAGTGCTTTTTCATACCAAAGTGAGAGGATGAAAAGCCAATATCCGGAGCTAGAACCGAGTCGTTCGAACACTGGTAGTCCCTCTGGGGGATTCGGCCAAAAACCCTGATTCCAAACCAAGAAAGAGGAGGCGTACGAACCAGACCCCCAAACACCTTACTGGTAGTGGTAGTGGTCACCGGCTCGGTTGGGTATTGAGGTTTCTTGGGCACCTTGGACGTGTAAACCCCGTCCGATTAACTGGACACCGGCCCCCAATGGATTACAGTTTTCACATACCCCCCTCCCCGAAGTCTTGCGGATCAGTCTGGTTAACCGTATTCCCGGTTGTGAATTCCCTAGGAAAATTCACCTGCTTCGGCCGGGGCAACCTGGAAGTATGGTGCTCTCGAGCAAATCATAGACTATTGGTTTTATTTTTTAAGGATTGTTGTACCGTGAACTCAGACGTGTGTGACAATATAATATATAATAAAGGGGACCCGGTGTTTCAAATTTGATTTCTGCAACCTGTTGGTTTCCAGCAGAGATGGCGAGTGCTAAGCTCATCTGGACGCGAAAATAATATAAAAGCGGGTTACCCGAGCTTCTCGAACTATACTCTCGACGAAAGGGACGACAAGTTACTTTCGACAGGGCTGATCTCTTCGGCGTAAGATAAAGACAAGATTCATATGTTCTAGGGTTTTTAATCGCTCCATGCTCATAGAGGATAGAAAGTATTAAAGGGGTTAAACCTGAAGGTGATGGAACGTGAGGTGAAAATAAACTGGGAGGTATTGCACAACTAGGTCAAATTGTGTTCGATATCCGTCTGAAACAATCGGCTTCAGGGGGAATTGAAAAAAAATCGGACAATCACATTTGTGTTTAACTCCCCGAGATGGGATCGACGACGATGCAACAACATGACAACTTCTAATTTCATTTATTGAAGAAACAAAACTGTAGAATCAAACAGTTTCCAGAAGACACGGAGAGGTGCAACAGTTGTGCGGCCCAGGTGGGACTCGAACTTGAGAGCTACGAAATAACTTGTTATACTTGACCACCACCATCACTACCACATAGATAACCATTGCACAATGCTTTTCAATTGGGTTTGTTTATTACACACCTTAGTGTGATGAACAGCAAGTAGATGGGGTGGAGCCCCACGGTCACGAGAACCTGTTGTTCATTGATGGAAACCGGTGACCCAAGCCCCGGGATTTGGAATTGGTAAACCACATAAGGCTCCGCCAGGTTAGGTGTGGTATTGAACCGGACGACAGCAAAGTAGTCTATCACCAAAGTTGATTGGAGGTGACGGGGCTCGAACCTCGAACCCAAGCCAGCCGATGTACTGGAACGAGTTTCACCGGTCGAAATTTATATCTTTTGAAAAGGGTACACAAAATTTTCAGGAAGGGTGAAGCGTTCAATCAAACGGCTGTCGGATAGATTGGCACACCAACACATACACACACACACAAATGTCAGTGCATGATCATGACATCCATCTGGCCCACCGCGACTGACGAGGGAAATTTGTGCACCTTGGGATTTTCGGTGACCAGCTTTATTGATGGACACGATCGGCAGGAGTGGGGAATAAGTAACGGCACCAAGGCTTACCATGTGATGGAGAAATTCTTGGGTGACGGTAGAAGAAAAGGATAACGATGAGTCAACGGTGTGTGTGGGGGGGACCGAGATTGAAGTGTATAAACGGAAATCTGTTCATATTTGACTTTATACGCGTCCGATTATTCCTAATCCAACGAACGCGATATCAGATTGACCCCGAACAGATTCCCGCATGCAGAATCGATCTGAAATGAGTCAGCGTGTGATTTGGGGCTTGGAAATCTTACTCGTAACTACACCTTATTCCATGGACGATCGATAATCACGCGTGGAGGGAGCCCAAATGTTTCATAAACAATTGGTTCAAGATAAAAGTGAGCGAATTGTGAGGAGATAACACACACACACACACACACTGGGGGGAGGCGGGTGGAAGAGGGAAACATCTCAATCATATTGTCCGATAGTGATTCACTTCACGAATGGAATACGGGCTGTGGAGTGGTATTTGTGTGTCGAAAACATGTGGACAGGTGATACGTTGATAGGACTGGTGATGAGGCATATAAGCGTGTTCACGCTATAGCATACAGGTCATGCTACCAGACTTGGCACTAACGATCGACAATATGCACCAGAAACCCGATTACATGCCAGCCCTCTGAGGAAAGACAGCGGGGTAGGGGGAGAGAGGGAGAGAAGGGAGCACACATACACACACACACACACACAAAGACATGCAGAAATATGGCCTCTTCTGATACACACACACACACACACACAACCCGAAGGAACCGGAATGTGCAAAACGATGGTCGAAAGCGACCAACCAAGAAGACACACGGACACAGAAATAATGGAAAGGGTTACCTTCAAATTTAGCGTAAGTCAACTCGACTGAAGATAGAGACAGAGACGGAGAGGGGAACGGGAGAGAAATCCGAAGAGGCAATCAGTGAAACTCGGAATGAGAAATGAGGCACTTCAGTGAGATGATCCGCAATTATCGGATGACTGGAACTGTCAAAAAAAAAAGGAACCGAACTGACTAGCTTAAACGAAATAACGCACTGAGCTGTGGATGAGAGAATAACAAATGGAAAAATGAACAATGTAGACGGGGTGTGGGTGTGGGAGGAGAGTGAAACAACTGTCACACAATGGAACACTGTTGTATTTTGTTTTGTTTTTCCCAGGTGACAGAAAGCAAGACAAGTGAAGTGAGCAGGACCACATGAGACTTACTGGATGGACGATCGGTCACACATAGGAACTTGTGTCCCGGATCTGTGTAGATAATTCGAAGAAGTTGCTGTAATGTGAACGAGAAGACACGAACGATTAATTTGTACAGTTTGTGCTTGACTCGATGTGTGATTCACCAGTTATTGTTAGTACTATTCAAATATGAGAGTGCTCAGAGTCAGACCACAACAGATTACGAACTAGAAAAGCGACACGATAATCGTTGGTCCACTGTTTGGAAGTTTTTTACCATCCGGAACTGCTTATTAATTTCAATGCTCAATTAACGCCTCGTGCAACTTTGTTGTTATGACTCGGGTTTTCAGCTGAATCGGATTTGAGCGTCCGCAACAGAGTACACACAGCCAGATGAACTTAGATCGTTAAAACCTTGGTGATTATCCAGGGAGTTTTAAGGTGAAAGATGCGAAGCTAAATTGTTGCCTTGCTCAGAGTCTGATTATGTCAACACGTGACCAGTCCACGATCATCGTAT